GGGTAGAATAAAGTTTCAGGGCAGGGACGGCAGGGAAAGGGAGGGAGCAAGGCAGAGTAACAGTCCATGTGGTCCTCTATGACTTCCACACTTTTTAGACACCCATTTACCCTCCCAGCAAACTGTGGCTGAATTAATGATGGCAGCATATTCTTGCTGTGCAATTTCAGAGAGCTGCTATCTAATTTTGCTTGAAACACTGGCTGGGGGTACATAACTGGGTGGAAATAAACCCTGCTTCTGAAACGCTTGGATCAAGTCATTTTTATTTTCTGTGACTGCTGTTGTTTTCACTGTTCCTGAGACATCAAAATCCTGATCGATTGTCTGAATATAGGTCAGTTCAACTACTACTTGGCAAATAAAAAGAATATATATATATACATATCCCAAGTCCAGATGGTAATATATTCACACACATACGTACACTTGAGGGAAGAAGATGTTACAATATGAGCGTACTTCAAAAAGTTCACAGAAAAATGGAGCTGAAAGGTAATATAAATCTTTCCATGAACTTTACATAATATATATATGTAATTTTTTTGTCTTTTTTCTGTGAGCTACTTGAAGTACAATCACGCACAGACCCTTATTGGTGGGCAAGGACCATTAGAGACAAAGGTATGGATGCTTGAATCACTTGGTTTATTAAACACACACACACAAATTAATCTGTACCCTACTTCTTATTTAAACTAAATGATCCCTGTAGGGCACACTACACATGACTCCTATTTTTATCCTGTGTAGAATATGCATAAAGCATATGTACTTCACAGGGCCTGGCTTTCCAAAGCCTTGCAATTTCAAATATTGACCTTATGAAAAACAGGAAATTTTCCCCAGGCCATTGAGTCTCTGTTGTAAGATAAAGAGTTGTAACACAGCAAGGTTGCTGGCTCAAAGACCAACAGGTTACTGATTGATATGTAAAGATACTGGGAAATTGCTGTAAGAAGAGAATGTTTGCTAAGATCAAGCTTTTGTTGGTGGATAACTTAATTGCCTAATGGAAGGTCATCTGACTTGTTTTTACTGAATGTTACCAGCTTCTATTGTGAAACTTGTTAAAACTTTAAGCCCACCTATGTCTCTTCCTATAACTTCCTGGGCTGGAAAATGAATGCAGGAAGAGAACCCTAATTCGTGGTTAATTTCCCAAATGGAAGGAATGCCTCTCTCTTGAGGGTTCTGGGAGATTAACCACTTTGGGGCTTCTCACTGCTCAGAAGAGATGGGCTTTGAGTAATCCTTTGTGGCTCCATCACCTAGGGGAAAAGGGGTGACAAATCTGTGAGGGGGCAAAACAACAATCCTGTTAGGAGCAGGTTAGGAATCTCACATCTCTGGCACCAAGTCCTTTCCCGATTCACGTCCACCAGGAACTGGACACATCTGATGGAGTGTGATTGATGGTCCTTGAGAACTGTCTTGAGAGCGGCATACACTCACGTCCCTTCTTGAACTCCTGGAGGAAACAGCACCTCATTGGCAGTACCATCCTGCAATCCAGCAGTTTAATGATCGCAGCAACTTGGGGCTTTGCCTCCATTCCTTATATTCTGCTTGAGGTCTGTCATGGTCAGTTAAGTCCTTGTCACAGAGTCACAGTTGAGTCTTCCCAAGTCCAGATGGTAATATCTCAAAAGGGTGTGATCTGTTAAGGGTCTGCCAAGTTCATGACGTAAGTTCCCTAACCAAAGTTAGGAAGTTCCATGACAAAGTTCCTCCATGGCACTCCAATATAAAAACACTTATTTAGCACTTCCAACAAGTAACCTTGTGTATTTTGGTAAGCTGAGCACAGTGACCAATTTCACCTCTGTTTTAGGTTTTATGGTTAACGTTTTTACTTTCCACAAGCTTCTCTTAATCCTTAAAAAAAAGTGTCTTACTTTGATTAAAACATTATTTCTAAAATGGTATAGCTTTTATTTTATATATGTTCCTTCACGTAAAACTTTATCATTTAGGTTTTTAAATTTCATATTCATTTGATATATTAGCATGACTCCAACATTTTGCATTCTATAAACTTTTAATTTTTTTAACTAGGATATGATCCTTCTATGGATCTACTCAAAGCTTGGGGGTGTAAGCCCGGAGGGCTTTTTCTCATCTTCTTTTGTTTGCTCCGATGACTCATCATAAATGTTCTCAACCCCTTTCTATTATGGAAATCCTCTTCCCTTTTAAAGACCCACTTTGAAAGGCAATTTTGAGTGCCGTCCCTTTTCCTAAAGACAGAAAAATCTCTCTCCTTCCTCTGACGGATGCCTTTATTTAACACTTGGTTCTGTTTTGTGCTATAATTAACTGCTCATGTGCCTTTCTATCATACTGTATCCTAGTCCTCTATGGCAGAAGTGGGTCTCACCCACCCTTGTACCCATCATGATCCAGTACTTTGTGCCTAATAACAGTTAGCATTCATTGAGGATTTTCTCTGTGCCAGGCCTATTTAATTCTCATAACCCAGTGAGGTAGTACCTATTATTATCTCCATTTTATAAATGAGTACACTGAGTCAAGGAGAAGTTATGTAAATTGCCTGAGGTTGCCCAGTTAGTAAACAGCAGAACTGGTCTGTTATTGACAATGAATCTTCTGATTGATTAGATAAGCTTAAAGTTTTGTTTTGTTTCTTTAAAAGGACATACGGCATGGGGCCGGCCTGTGGCTCACTCGGGAGAGTGCGGTGCTGATAACACCAAGGCCACGGGTTCGGATCCCATATAGGGATGGCCGGTTGCTCACTGGGTGGGCGTGGTGCTGACGATTGATTAGATAAGCTTAAAGTTTTGTTTTGTTTCTTTAAAAGGACATACGGCATGGGGCCGGCCTGTGGCTCACTCGGGAGAGTGCGGTGCTGATAACACCAAGGCCACGGGTTCGGATCCCATATAGGGATGGCCGGTTTGCTCACTGGGTGAGCGTGGTGCTGACAACACCAAGTCAAGGGTTAAGATCCCCTTACCGGTCATCTTTTTTTAAAAAAAAAAGGACATATGGCTTTAGAGCCTGAGCTTTTAACCTCAGCTATAAATATCTGTTGAAATTAAGAGGAAAAAAAATAATCTTATCTAGAAAGAAATATTTGCTTGTAGTTTCTTTGTTCTCTGTTGAAAAACAAAACAATGTTTCCTGCGTTGCTTTAAATTTTTCCATGAGAAAACAAAGCAGGTATGAAGTTAACTTATTTTGATTTTCATCATCCTGATTGTTAGCTAGTCTTCCTAGGGGTCCATAGAAAGCCCAGTGTTGCAGTAAAGCTGTATTTGTGTTTCAGTTTTTTATACTTAAACTGATTACCCCAGATTCTAATCAGTGGCTGAATAAAAAGTTACCATGGTTGAGAAAGAAAGGTGATTGGGGAGCTAATACTGACTACTAGTTGTTTTTAATTGATGAACAGATTGGATTCTGAAAACTGTGTCTCCATGACTGGCCACAAAAGCCCATTTCTCAGTGACAGGAACACACAGCTAAGTCAGCAAGCTCAGGCTTCTGCCACCTCTGATGCTCATTTCATCTCTGTGCTCCTTGGGTTTTCATTCTTTAAATGAGAAAAATGGCCCCATACTCCTCTGAGATTACACAAAAGAGCTTTTAAAATGGATATTATTCTATTGTTGTTATTATTAATACCGTAGTATCTGAATTCTATATGCAATAGTGTTCTATGGTAAAAACGTTTTGAATTTAAAAATGGGGTTCTGAGAGCCAGACTCTATCTACCTGGGTCCCTACCCACATTTCTTCCTAGAGGGATCTGGAATACACGGGTTCCCACTCCTCTGCCTGTTGAGAGTGGGACTGAGTGCAATAGTGTTCTATGGTAAAAACGTTTTGAATTTAAAAATGGGGTTCTGAGAGCCAGACTCTATCTACCTGGGTCCCTACCCACATTACTTCCTAGAGGGATCTGGAATACACGGGTTCCCACTCCTCTGCCTGTTGAGAGTGGGACTGAGGACTTCCCCAGTTTCAAGATCTATGGGTTGGAACACGAGGAGGGACAAGGTCCGGAGGGTGAGGAAGGGGAGAGAACAAGAGTCTGTGCTGGAGAAATGAATGTTCTATCCCCCAGGCTCACAAGGCACCTTCTCTCAGTAGACCTTTTCCCAAGTCACGGTTTTCCTCCCTGCAGCTCCAAGCTTGGACCTGGGGGCTTCTCTTTCTGCTACCATGTCCAGCAGAGCTCTCAGGTTCTCCCCTATCCTCCAGTTCCCCAAATAAGCCAACAGCTCTGCATTGCCTACCTTAGAGTCAGCTGTGGAAATCAAATGAAATGCTCTGTAAACTCCACAAATGTTCACTGTTGTTGTTGTTCTGAGCTCCCCAGCATATTTGGGAGATGGGCTTCATGGTTAAGGGAGCTTTCCAGTTAAATTAAGTATTTAACTTATTATTTAGTAACACTTCTTTAACTTATTATTTAGCATCACTGATTTTTTATAACATTACTTAGTACATTTAATAACATTACTTAGTACCTTCCCGGACAGTATTTTAAGTGTTTTACCTGCTTACTTTTTATTCCTCTTAAGAACCCTAAGAAATAGGTACTTTATTTTTCCACATTTTAAACATTTGAAAATTAAGATTAAAAGATTGAGTAATCTGCCTGGGGACATGCATTTTATAAAAAGCAGGGCTGGGAGTAAAAACTGATGCCAAGCCTTTGTGGTCAACCACAACATACAAGATTGCACAGACAAGAGAGGCTTCCCATCCCTTCTCCAGTTCACAACTGAATTGGCTGTTTCCTTTCACTGTCCAATTTTAGAAATTTAGTAGTTTATCAATCACTAATGCTTTGCTATTACCAAGTAACAGTTGTCTTTTTAGAGCTGTTAAGTGGGGTGGGCTGGAGTGGGCTAGGATGGTGATTCCTTTCTATAGTTAGTGCCTAAAAAATGAGGGTCCCAAAGAAGGCTGGTCAGAAATGAAAACTTAATGTTTAAAGTCAAATATGAAAATTGAAAGGTACTTACTCATTAAAGTAACTGGAGAGTTAAAAAAGCATTTCTCCGTTGATTCTAGATCTCTTTCCTAGAGAGATTCATTTCTTGGCTGCAGATCACAGTGGCCAGGTCGGAGAGCCCAGAGTCCGAGCTACAAGGTAAATAAGTTAACTTGTGGGTGCTGCTGCGTTTGCAAGCTAGTGTCTGGGGAAGGGATGCCATTTCCGGTGGCATCTGGGGCAAATGACACGAGTCAGCATTTACTGTCTTGCTTCAGGAAGTGGAAGAAGAATGACCAAAGCTTCAAGACTTTGGCATACGTGAAAACATGAAGTGGTAAAAACTGTAAACGCAACTTCCTAGAATTTGACCCTGAACTTGTTTTTGTTTCACCTTTCTCGGTAATTTGGGTCTAACCTATATTGACTCTTCCTCAGTTTTATTTAAGAATTCAGACTCTTAGTTCTTATTACTATTGCTGGTATGGTGTGTTCATGGCTTAAAAAGTTGTTAGAAAGGAGAAGAAGGAAATGGAAAAAGAGATACGGGGAAATGGTAAGAGGAGAGGAAGGATCTTTCTTTTCTAATTAACATTTAATAGTAATAGTCCTGCACTTTTAGGCAGTATGTTCCAGTTTACAAACTGTTTCCAAATCCTTTCACTCGGTCATCTCACCACCTTCTTAGTGGAAGAATAGCCCAGTCCAGAGCTGCAGGAAACTGCAGGCCTGAGCCTGTACAGAAGACGAAAGGTGTGAGCCACAGGCCGCAGGTAAACACAGCAAGTGGCAGGGCCAGGACAAGACCTTCTGCCTCCTCCCTGGTGCTCCATTTGAAACCAGCAGATAACTAGGGTTGGGGGGTGGGGAGGGGGTGGGGTGGAGACGGTGTGCTTCAAAGGGAAAAAGGTCTTTTGATTAGTTAGATGAGCACAGACCTTTGTTTTCTTTTTTGGGAATGATTTGGAGGAGCAGCACTATCCCCTCCCCTACAAATACCAAGATGAAAGAGGAGGAAATGAATCAGGAAAAAAAAAAAATTATGAAAGAAAGCTTTATAAGTTTTCCTCAAAACAGTGAATCTTCTATGTATGTTTTAAACACTTTAGATTAGAGCATTTTTCCATTACCAAAAATGGTATTGTTGGGGCTCAAAACACACCACCCCAAAATATGACTGTAGTATAGGCCACCCCAAAATACACTTCTTTGGCATATTTCGAACTAATTATTCTGAGAAACTGCCAGACACAGGAGTACCTCTGAAAAGCTGTCTTTTTGTAAGATAAATTTACATTTGTGTAGGAAATCTACATTATTAAAAGTATCTGTATCAGCAAGAGGGCTGCTCCAGACAAGCTTTATTACCTGAGAGACTTTTATCTGCATAACAAGACAACCTCTATTCGCCATAAATTTCCTTCCCTCACCCCCCCAGAAGGCCCAAGCCCCAAGTCCCTGTTCCCTTCTGTAGCTCAGGATGCCATATAAGCTTCAGTCATCTGGCCCTTCTTCAAGTCTCCCGTTTTGTGGGAGACTCCCGTGTGTACACACAATTAAAAATGTTTTTTTCCCTGTTAATCTGTCTATGTCAGTTTAATTTGTAGCCCAGATAAAGAATTTAGAAAGGTGGAGAGAAGCCATTTTTCCTCCCCTGCAGTATAAAAATAGCTAATGAACAAGAGGAACAGATTCCAAAACAGTCCTGAATTACACGCTTTGCGTGCTTAGCTTTGTTTTTGTTTTCAATAAGCTATTTAGACGAACAGGCCTATAAAGTGACATAATCGGCTTTCCTTGAAAAATATTTTACTTTACGTCATTGATGACCCAATGTGTGGCTTAAAAAGTAATTCCATACATTACACACTGTTTTCATCCTCTTGTCTTTAGCCATCAGTCAGATTATTTTGTATTTTTTCCATGAATTTTAATACAATAATTACCGTCTCAAGTCAGGGTTTCGATCTAGAACCCAACTGATAGTTTTAATATTTAAAAATTCAGAGGTCAGATTATTTTGTATTTTTTCCATGAATTTTAATACAATAATTACTGTCTCAAGTCAGGGTTTCGATCTAGAACCCAACTGATAGTTTTAATATTTAAAAATTCAGAGTAGTCTACTACCTAACTTTGAATATCTAACATTATTCGATTCTAGCAATTCTTTAAATGAGTTGCAAATCTTTCCAGTTCTCTAGATTCTAGCTAGTCTGTGCATTGTGAGAATAAAAGAACAATCTAGGGGAGGGTGACTAAAATTTCTGTAATCATCACAAGACTAGGGAACAGAGGAGCTGTAATAGTGCAAATGATAATCATGTTTATACTCTCTACATTTAAGGTAAAATGATTTTCAACTGATTTTTCTTGCTTCTAAGAACTTATCATGATATACGTAGACAGCTCCTTTTGCTATTTTGGCCCCATTTCATGTTCCAAAGCTCGGTGAGCTGTCTTTTTTTCTTACCAAACTTGGCTTTTTCCTAAAAGATAATGACATCTTATGGGCGTATAATGTTTTATACCTGGAATACCCTTTCTCATACAGATCTCCTTTCATGAAGCAAAACAAGCTCTAATTATTATCTTTACTTTGCAGATGGTTGAAACTGAGGCCCTGAGAGAGCTTGAAAGATGCGTCACTTTGATGGAGCAGGGCAGGGACTGGGAGCCAGCTCTCCTAACTGCACAGCTTGCCATCTTCACTGTCTTCTCAGCAGGAGGCCACACAGGGTGCACTGCTGTTACTGTCATTCTTAAATTATTTTATTCTTAAGAAGGTAATTCATGCACATGGCACAAAATTTAAAAAGGTACAAGTGATATGAGTGAGAAGAATGTTCTCTCCCTTTCTTGTTGCCTAATCTTTCAGTCTCCCTTCTAGAAGCAACGCTGCCATTGATTTCTTAACTAATCTGCCAGAAATATCTTACATCTCTCTGAAATATTTTATTCTCTTGTCGTTCCTTCTTGAAGATTCAACATCTCTTTTTATTAAAGGCAGTTGTCTGGAAAAAAAATATGAGTACCACTTAGAACAGATGTTAAACTACAGAAATTCTTTTGGTAAACTGATCATATGGATTGTTCCAAACATTCAGATGTTTGAAATGGTATAAAAACCTATTCCAGGTCGAGTGCCCCTCATCTAAAATGCTTGAGACCAGAAGTGTTTCCAACTTTGGAATTTTTGGATTTTTGGGATATTTGCATATATAGAATGAGATAGCTTGGGGATAGGACCCAAGTTTAAACACGAAATTTATTTATGTTTTATATACACCTTATACACACAGTCTGAAGGTAACTGTATACAATATTTTTAATCATTTTGTACACGGAACAAAATTTGTGTACAGTGAACCATCAGAATGCAAAGGTGTCATACTGGTGCTCAAAAGTTTTGGATTTTGGAGCATTTCTGATTTCTGATTTTTGAATTAGGGATGGTCAACCTGTACTCACAAAATCTTGGAGCATGAGGCAGGCACAGATACACCCAGAGATGCGACACTCTCACTGACCTATAAATGATTGCCTGTCTGGAGGCTACTCAGACTGATTTGTGGTATAGTCCTGTGCATGTCCTCTGATGGCGTGGACTGAGGCCAAAGCTATGATGCTGTGAGATAAGTGAACCATTAGATCCTCTGGCTTTGGGGCCAACAGACTTGGGTTTGAAACCTGATTCAGTCACTTATGGCTGTATGACTTTGGCAGTCACTCAATTTCTCTGCGACTTGATTTTCTCATTTCTAAATGGGTGATAATGCTAGTTACTACATAGATGCAAAGATTGAATGAGAAAATAACCGTGGAGTATCAGGTACATAGGAGTGTATGATAAAAGATCTCTCTATCCTTAACCATGACCCATCTACTCATTCTCTCTTTCTTTCATTCAATAAATAATTATGGCAAGCACTGTTCTGGGTGCTGGGGATACAGCAATAAATAAAACGTTTTTTTAAAAAAAATACTTGCCCTTATAGAGTTTACATTTGAGTTGGGGGAAGTAGATAATTAAACAACAAAAACAAAAGTAAGTAAAATAATGCGTTAGATAAAAGAGAAGAAGAGTATGAGTGCTGGATGGGGAGGGTGCAAGGTTGTGGCTTGGGATTTTAAGTAGGGTGGTCTCTCCAGGAGGCAACATTTGAGCAAAGTCCTGAGGGAAGTGATGGAGCAAACCATGTAGAAATTGGGGGGAAGGGAATTCCAAGCAGAGGAACAGTAAGGAGGTGAGTATGACTAGACTGCAGGGAACAAAAGAGAGAAACAGGAGATGGAGTCAGAGAAGAAAGGGGACGTGGATGCTGGAGAACGTGCACCATTGAAAAGATTTGGGCTTTTACCTTGGGAGCCATTGTGAGGGGTTTGAACAGAAAAGTACCACCACCTCACTATTTTTAACATGTCCACTCTTGCTGCTCTGTCCATCTATCTGTACAGGAAGACCTCTCGGTTTCTTTGTATCTTCTTTTCTGAACAATGGTTAAAACAAATCATGGATCCAGGTGTACTTTTCAACATTTTTACCTGGGTTACATTAATCAGATCAAACTTGTTTTTATTAACTGAGGAGTTTCCCAAAAGGCCAGTTTCGTTAACCAAGAAAAATGTAATTTCATTTGTATCATTATTAAAGGGTATTTCCAAAAATGGGGGTACTGAAACCGCCACCTCACACCAGACGCACAAGAGCATAAGCATTCCCATAAAACATCCAGTCATTCCCGGGGGGGTTGACAAGTCCATGCAATCCTGAGAATACCGGAATAGGGATTCTCGGGAAGGCTTCTGCGGGGCCCAGCCACACACACGGAGATTCTCCGCAGCCCTGCTGAACGGGGAACCGTCCTCCTTACATTCCCACGCCGTTTCCCACGGATGCACGGCTCCCGACAAGAGATATTAGTCAAAGAACGAAAAGTGGTCTGATTCTGGATATATTTTGAAGGTGGAGCCAGCAATAGAATTTGCCTGTGAAGAGACAGTGGGATGTGAGGAAAGGAGAGGAGACCAGGGTGGACCCACGGTTTCTGGCCTGAGCAACAGGAAGGATGATGTTGCCACTTACTGAGTTAAGAGAAAGTTTGGGAGAAACAGATTTGGGGGGAGTGGATGGAGGTCGAGTGTTTGGTTT